GTAACTTTAATTAAATAATAAGTTAAAATGAAAGTAAACCCTAAACCCCGTTCTTGATCGTCGATAATTGCTGAAACCCAGGTTACACTCGAAACCCTGGACACCAAACTACCTAAATCCTAAAGCCCCCTGTACCCCCTGTATTCCTTAAGCAAAGCACACACCAAAACTTGACAGGACCCTTCAATGCACCCGGATGACCCTTGGATGCAACGATCAGGCCAGGCACTGCATCTAAGGGTGTTTTGTGTGCATCCAAGGGTCATTGAGGGGTACTGGTCTGGTGGGATCATCGCCTTTGCTTCTGTCCCAGTGCCAGTCACTCGTCGCGAAGTTTGAAGTTGTCAGCAAGTGCTGCATTCAACTTAAACGTTGCATTCAAGGCTCCAGGCACCAAGGCACCCAGGCTCTCAGGCTCCAAGGCCTAGTAGAGTGTGCATTTTGACCCTACCCACACAGTGTACGCTGCCGTTACGTCACTGTGGGCACCGTTGGCCGGGTGTCGGGCCGCAGGAACTCAGCCTTGAGGCCAACCTGCCAAGGCAGTGGCAGATGACAGCTGGGCCAATGGGCTAATGCGCCAGCTGGGGCAAAATCTGGGCCAGGGATCCTGTTGTCCCGCCAGATTGTTCCTGCAATGAGGGGGAGGCTTTACTGCTGGGATCATCGGCTTTGCTTCTGTCCCAGTGCCAGTCACTCGTCGCGAAGTCTGAAGTTGTGCAAGTGCAGAATTCAAACTTTGCATTCAAGGCTCCAGGCCCCCAGGCCCCCAGGCGCCCAGGCTCTCAGGCTCTCAGGCTCCAAGCCCCTGAGGCTGCATGTCTACCAGCCCTCCGTGCGTCTCCAGGCACTTTGAGGCAGTGGCTGGATGGCTGGGGTTCGGGCTTTCAGAGTGCCACCGATGCCAGCACGTTTTGGTCTCGGGGCGACCAAGCTTCCACAAAGATTGATACAAGTCTTCAAACTCGTCATTGTTGTTCGTCGATGATAGTTGAAACCCAGGTTACACTCGAAACCCTCGTTACCAAACCACCTAAATCCTTAAAGCCCCCCTGTACACCCTGTAAATTCCTTAAGCAAAGCACACACCAAAACTTGACAGGACCCTTCAATGCACCCGGATGACCCTTGGATGCAACGATCAGGCCAGGCACTGCATCTAAGGGTGTTTTGTGTGCATCCAAGGGTCAATTGCTGAAACCCAGGTTACACTCGAAACCCTCGACACCAAGCCACCTTTATCCTAAACCCCACCCTGTACCACCTGTATTCCTTCAGCAAAGCACACACCAAAACTTGAAAGGACCCTTCAATGCACCCGGATGACCCTTGGATGCAACGATCAGGCCAGGCACTGCATCTAAGGGTGTTTTGTGTGCATCCAAGGGTCATTGAGGGGTACTGGTCTGGTGGGATCATCGCCGTTGCTTCTGTCCCAGTGCCAGTCACTCGTCGCGAAGTTTGAAGTTGTCAGCAAGTGCAGCAATTTAAACGTTACCGTTGCATTCAAGGCTCCAGGCACCCAGGCACCCAGGCTCTCAGGCTCCAAGGCCCAGTAGAGTCGCTGCCGCCATGATTCCAGGCACTTTGAGGCAGTGGCTGGACGGCTGGGGGTCCGGCTTTCAGAGTGCCACCGAGGCCAGCATCGGTGCCACTCATGCCCGTTTTGGTCTCGGGGCGGCCAAACTTCCACAAAGATTGTTGGTGGGAACTGATTGCAGTGGCATTGATGCACCGATCCATGGCCTTAGGGAGCTCGGCATCACGCACCAGCATTTGTTTGGGAGTGAGGTGGCTGCTGGTCCTCGGTCGGTTATCGAGGCTAATACCAAGCCCTCGGTACTGTTCCACAGTGTCCTGGATGCTGACAAGGCACCGTTCGTTCACCTGTACATTGCCGGCTTCAGCTGCAAGCCGTTCAGCCTGCTCCACAATAAGTCAAGGCTCCTCAAGGAAAAACAGGCTCAAATATTCTATGGGGTCGTTGCACGCATCCAACTTGTGCGGCCCTCGTGCTTCGTGCTGGAGAATGTGTCAGGCATCAAGCGTGTTTCTGCAAAGGTTCTGGCGGCACTCAGGTCCACAGGCTATCATGTCGAAATGATTTTGATGAACCCTGCCGAGCTACAGGAGCCCATCCAGAGGCCTAGGTACTACTTCATCGGGGTCCGGCAAGATGTGAGCCTCATCTCGCCAAAGGACATGTCGTGCTGGCTTCGTGAGGCTTGGGCGGAAGTCCAGGATTCAGTTGCTTCCGGAGACGCAGTCGATCTTTTGGATAGACTGCTACCGGCGAGCCACCCTGCTGTGGCACAGTACCAGGAAAGCCGCAAACGGAAGTGGTCGCAAGCTTCCAACCGTGGGTTCCCAGGCTCCCAGGCTCCCAGGCTCCAGGCTCCCATGCTCCAAAGTGGAAAGAATTGCACAAGATGTGCAAAGCTTCAATGCAGCAGGGCAGCCGGTTGAAGAGTGAGAGTCGGAGGCCTTGCACTGAGAGCGGAGTCGCCTGCTGCGCAGACACGTTGTTCCTGCATTTGCCGCGTGAGCGTGATGCCTGGGACATCATTTGCACAAAGCATGCAGGCAGTAAGGAGCTTGTCGCGGATGTATCCCAGAATGTGAACCGAGCCCGGGTGCGGACCGATGGCTCCCTGCCTACTGTTACACCTGGGGCCGTACTGGTATCCGCACGAGCTGGAAGGATCATTAGCCCGCTTGAAAAAGTCATGCTGCACGGTTTTCCAATTCACCGTATGGTTTTTCCCAGCAAAGTGACCGACAAGGAGCTCGCCAGCATGGGCGGCAACACGATGCATGTGCAGATTGTGGCCGTGGCAATGAAGTTTGCGCTTGCGTTGGTAAACTGGAGCCTGCCCAAAGCTTCCCGGCCGACAGCCTTGTGCAGCACCGTTGCTGCGCCAAGCATAACTGCTTCAGTTGTGCTCGGCGCAGCAGCGAAATGCCGCAAGCGCCATGGCAAGCCACGGAAGGCTCCCAAGGCGCGAAAGGCTGCATCGGCGCAGAAGCCTCCAAAGGCACCAAAGGCTCCAAAGGCTCAGAAGGCTGAAGGCATGTCAGCTTTGGCAAAGCGTTGGCAGAAAGTCTTGAGACCGCAGGCAGCAAAGAAGTGCTCGAGGAAGGGTGCCACGGCCACATTGGCGTCCCGTCTTGCCCATCGCTGGGCAAAGTAGTAGTCATTAATTCGTCATATTATGACGGAGAATGGCATGCGTTTTCTAATTTGGCCACTCGGAGTTGGCATCATAGACTGACTTAGGTGAGGCCGGGTGCAAAATTCGGGAAAGCCTGCTCCGAGCAGTACAGATTATTTAGACTGGGTCACCCTGCCGACTCCCAGTGAAACAAACCGCCGCAGTGTGCATAGGAGTTCGCAGTGTTGTGCCATTCGGGCTGCTTGACTCGGGGTAATACCCTCACGTCTGCCAGGCAGCTGCTCGCTGTCGGATCGAACGGGAAGCTGGAGGCGCGGTTCTCGGGTTAGTCGGAGTCGGTTGGACCAGTTGCAGAGTCTGATTCAGTTCCAGTCTTAGCACGGTTGCCACGGTTGCGTTTGCTTGTCATCGTAAGTGCTTCGCGGTCGCTTCAGGCTCCCAGGCTCAAGGCTCCAAGGCCCCCAGGATTTCAATGCCAGTGGGTAGCCGCACCCTGCGTGGTCTTGCCGCTCGGTTCGGACTACGCTCCCGGAAGCAGGACCGGACGCCGACAAAAAAAGACGAGGTCCACAAGGATCCGTGCCTGCGGCCCCGAAGAAGCTTCGGCTCGAGTCCGGCGAAGGCCTGGCTCAGGAGGGCGACGACGACACCGGAAAGGGATGTGGCGATGTTGGTCTCGCGACTGAGAGCGATGCAGAGCATTTGGCTCGCCATCGTGGTGGCGACGAGAAATGCAGCCGATGCAAGCTGCCCGGTTCAGAAACCCTAATTTTAATTTAAATTATTATTTAATTTATTATTTAATTTTAATATTTACAGAAATTTAAATCATAAATGGTCTTATTATTAATAGGGTTTCTGAACCGGGCAACTAGACATACTACATACATACATACTTACATGCCTGCCATGCATGCATACACATTACATGTCAATCTATTTTTTCATTTTGGTTATTTATCATCTTGCTGTCGTGTTTCTCTCTCTCTCTCTCTCGGTGGCTCTCTCTCTCTCTCTCTCTCTCTCTCGTCGCTCTCTCTCTCTCTCTCTCTCTGTCTCTCTCTCTCTCTCTCTCTCTCTCGTTCTCTCTCTATCTCTCTCGCTCTCTCTCTCTCACTCTCTCTCTCTCTCTCTCTCTCTCTCTCTCTCTCTTTCTCGTGCTCTCCGTCTCTCTCTCTCTCTCTTTCTCTTTTTCTCTCTCTCTCTCTCTCTCTCTCTCTCTCTCTCTCTCTCTCTCTCTCTCTCTCTCTCTCTCTCTCTCTCTCTCTCTATCTCTCTCTCTCTCTCTCTGTTGGATCGTTATTGTTTGTGGCAGACTTGCTACTTGACTATGTTGCAGTTGCTGGTTGGTTCTTGCTTCCGGCATTCTCGACTTGATCTCGTCCGTTTGCATACAATCCCAACATGTCAGTCAGGTTCCTTCGCTTCCAGGAAGTTTGGAGCAAAGCCGGAAGCCTCACCCACACGTCTTGGGGCAAGCAGCAGCGGACAGTTTGGCTGGGCCAGAGACCAGCTCGCCGAGGAGGCGATTGGGGCATCGGCTGTCACTTTTGTGCACACTTGATGAATGTTTTGGCACAGAACCCAGCAGAGCGGAAGAGGTTGCAGTCCGGCCGAATTGTGCAGTGTAGTGCGAGCGGATAGCCCCTTTGTGATCAAATTAAGGCTGACCGTGACCAGCCCAACTTTCGCAGCCCTAAATGCCTAAGGCTGGGCAGTCGCCTCTCTACCAAGTGGGGTGCCTATGAGGTCCGATCAAGGACCGCATCATGTTGTCGTTGTCAGCTGTGATTTAAGGCATCAGTCGCAGACTTTGGCAGGAGTGCGATGCAGGCATGCTGCATACACGCTCACAGCAAGACCTTCGTTCACCAGGTGGCCACGAAGGTTTACCTAGCTCCTGACACGCCGATCTCACAGTGCTTGCCTTACAGCATCAAGCATCAGCACCTCTTCTCCGGCAACGTTCCTCAGCCGGCAGATTGGCTGCGAGCGTGGCGGGCGTGCCGGACAGCATCTTCTTTCAAAGGTGCCGTGAAATTCTATTCCACGGAAGACTTCGCTGCTGGCAGGAACACGAAGCTTGACAGTGTGAGCCAGGATGCAGCACTTTAAAAGGCCTAAGGTTTCAGATTGTTGACATTTTATTTTGGCACATTTAAATTTAAAATTTGACAAATAATTTAATTAATCATCTGAGGTCTCAAGAACATGATTCTTGTTATGCACTGGGCTGTCAAGAGTGTTCGCAAGCAGCGTCTCGAACAAGCCACCAGCATCAGCTTGTCCGTGGACGACCGCAAGGAGTATCGTTTGGTGAGGTACCGTTGCGATGTTCCACCGCGCACTGCCAAGCAGTCAGCGGCTCCAGGCTCCCAAGGTCCCCAAGGCTCCCAAGGCTCCCAAGGCTCGGAGGATGGCCCGCTTGTCGCCGATGGCTTGCTTGGGGTCTACAAGACAGGTGCCAGTGTTCCTGAAAACACATTGGAGGAGCACGATGCGGACAAGAGTCAGGTGATGGCAGACAGCATAGGCATAGTCATTGACAGGGCCTGTCAGGATCCGGAAGGCAAAACTGACGAGGAGTCCTGCAGCCGCTTGAAGCTGCACGTGCGGCACTTTGCAGCCGATCAGTGCACATCTGCCCGGAAGTGTGGAAGGTTGTTGGTCACTGGCGGCCAGTATCCTAACCTGGTCTGGGTAAGCCATGATCCTGCGCACCAGGTTCGTATTGCCTACCAGGACCCTCTTCACGCCATGCCCGAGTTCCAAGACCAGTGGGAGCGTTTGTTTGCTCCCGGCAAGGGCAAGCATGCGCTTATCCCGGACATCCAGAACTCAGAAGTCTGGAAGGCCAGGCTCATGGCGGCCCAGCAAGAGGTTCTCAGGCTCCATGGCTCCCAGGCTGGTGTGGAGAAGGTGATCCGAGCGTTGTCGTTCTCCCAACCTCGGTTTGACTCGTCGGCCACACCAATGCTGAAGTACTTGTGCATGATTCGTGCGATGGCGGTCTTATGTGCTATGCAGGCTGCTGACGAGTCTTGTCCTTATGTCAAACAAATTTTAAAATTATTAAATTTAATAATTATTATTTATTTTAATTTAATTATTGTGTATTAAATCTTAGTCTTAGTATGGATTGTATTAATGCATGTATGTGCGGATGTATGTATGTACGTAATTATTATTTTAATAATTTAATAATAATAATAATTTAAATTAATAAATGACAATGATTAATAACTATTTAATTAATTTTATAATATATTAACTTTTATTCAATAATAACTAAGTATGTAGTCTTAGTATTATGTATATGATATGTAGTATGTATGTATGTATGTATGTATGTATGTATGTAATGCATGGTAATTCACTTTCAATGTGTAGTATCTAAATTGAATTGTATGTATGTATGTATGTATGGCATGTACGTATGTATGTATGTATGTATGTATGTATGTAAGTATTATGTATGAGTATGTATGTATGCATGTATGTATGTAGTATGTATTATGTAAGTAAAGCATGGATGTAAGTATGTATGCATGTACGTATGTATGTAGGTATGTATGTATGTATGTATGTAGTATGTATGTATGTATGTGTAGCGTTAAGAAATTTAAAGTATGTATGTGTGTATGTATTATGTATGTATGTATGTATGTTTGTATGTATGTATGTATGTATGATACGTATGTATGTATGTATGTATGTATGTATTGTATTGGCATTGTATGTATGTATGTATGTATGCATGTAGGTATTATTAGACATATTATTATTAACATAATACAATGTATGTATGTATGTATGTATAGTATGTATGTATGTATGTATGTATGTATGTATGATGTATGTATGTATGTATGTATGTATAGTATGTATGTATGTATGTATGTGTATGTATGTATGTATGTATGTATGTATGTATGTATGGCATGTATGTATGTATGTATGTATGTATGTATGTATGTATGACTGAGTATGAACTAATTTAATTTAATAAATTAAATTATTTTAAACATTGAATGTTTGTATGTATGTGTGTATGTATCGTAGTATGTTATGTATGTATAGTATGTATGTTTGTATGTTTGTATGTTTGTATGTATGTATGTATGTATGTATGTATGTATGTATGTAATTTAATGTATGTAAGTATTATGTATGTAGTATGTATGCATGTATGTATGTAATGTAATAGTATGTATGTACTCTACGCATGTATGTCATGTATGTTGAAATGTCCGTTGTATGACACACAGGAGAGAAACACGGTCGAGATTCGCTCCCGAGCAGAGCGCGCCTTGCAAAACATGAATGCAGCAGCCCTCATGCGCTGTGGACTCACTTGCGACTACACATCTGAGTGCCTGGGTTTCTTGCGCAGGAACTTTGACATTGAGGATCCAGATGTATCCTGCACCCCCAGAGTGCTGGAAGAGTTCACCAAGCGCCAGCGGTTCTTATTTGTGGATGGATACATCCTCTCCGACAGCTCGCAGGTTCCCAGTTCCGTGGACGGCTCCGAGGCTCCAGGCTCCCAGGCTCCCAGGAGGTGTGCAACCCAGTTAGTTTACGAGGAGATCCAGACACCAGAGCCGCAACTACCCTGCAAGTTTGTCGTCGTCATAGCGGTTGTGTTCCAGTAGGCTTCGCTGGTATGCCCGCCGTGGCAAACCTAGGATCTTCTATGGCAACAGAGTCCACTACCTGTGCACGAAGGCCGGCATTTCTGATGTAAGGCAGATCATGGGAACTATGGCGCACGTGGTCGAGGCGATGCTGGAGCGTTTGCGAGTAGATCTGACGGAGGATGAGATCGCCGTGGCTCTGCAGGTATTCAACCTTCGGCTGTGGCAGGAGACGAACCGACAACAGGAGCTAGTGGACTCTACACGCAAGCTCTGTGATATGCTCAAGCTTTCGCACGGTACAGCCGTGCTGTTTGGACGATTTGCTCGCAAATTGCATCCTCTTCTAGAAGCAGCTAAGTCAAAGGACCCAGGCTTCGGGAACAAACATGCGTGGTCTTGGTTGCTTCGGCCAGCGTGGCGTGCACGGCATGCACACAAACTTCCATGGACAGAGGATTGTCATGCCCTCATTGCTTTCTTCTTGTCCTTGAAGATCAACACGACCACGCTGGAAAGGGATTTGGGACACTTGCTCACACAGCTGGAGGCGCATTCCGGACCCCTCACTCCAAATGGCTCAACCATTGCCTCCATCCTCGAGGTGGCAGTTGAAGGTCCCCAGCGAGAGGAAGAATTTTTCCGGAAGCCGGAGAGCGAAGGTGCCGTGCTGACCCCAACTGACTTCGGGGTTCTTTGTGGTGAACTGTGGATTCGTCACTTTGGGCGTCGGTTCCGCATGACCTACAACAAAGAACGAAAGCAGGGGCCCAGCAAGCCACGCCAGGCACGTTCTGGAACTCTGGCTGCAATTGTCAGAGGCCGTGAAGCAGCCGCCGCCGAGGCAGCGAAGAGAGCAGAGGCAGCTGCTTCGAAAGGCAGGTCGTGGAAGCCGGCCTCTTTCGTGCCGGGCTTGAGCCTGCCTTTGCCGGCAGCGTCTGCCTCTGCCCAGAACAGCGTTGCTGGCACACGTTGGGCTTTCGCCCGCCCCACACCAGATGCCCTCAAGCATTTGGAGAATTTCCGTGCACGCACACAGCAGAAATATGACGGTGACTCAGCAGCACAACGGTTGCTTTCCGTGCTAAGTCATTTGAAGTGTCATACACATTGTCATTGTCATCCAGCCAAGGTCACCAAGAGGAAGCGCGGAGACGATCCTCTGGCAAGATTGCTTACACAACAACGGCGGCACGGCTTGGCGGTTTGCGCATGGTGCAGCACGGCCACGAGAAGGATCGGTCATCCGTCTTGCAAAGCATCCTCCGCAAACGAGCTCTGAAGCTATGTCCGGTCTATCGTCGCTACACGGACAGCAAGTCGCTGCAAGGCAACAAGCATTTCCAGATTCTTGGACCGTACGAGTATGAATCCGCCGATATCCTGGTCCTCGAACAACTGTCCGATGTGGAGACGGTCCGCAGCGACCGACTGGTCCCAAGCTTTTAATTAAAATGTTTAAAAGTCGGATGATGCCAGGCTTAGATCGTCACTGCTGGTACACGTTGACGTGTTTCATCCCAGGTTCCTGCCTTGATCATTGCGTACGGCTGTGGCAAAGTGCTTGCCTCCAGGGAGGCGATTCTGGCATACTTGGACAATCCGACAATTGATGCTGAGAAGTCGTTCTTGTCCTTCAACACAGCTGCAACTTCGAGGCTGGTCGGCCTTGAGATCGCCAAGAGCTGTCAACTGTTGCTCGGTGGCACAGACACTGAGGTTCAAGGGTTTCGGGTTGAAGGGTTTATTGTCTAGGGTTGGGTTTGGGTTCATTTAAGTTCAATCAGTCAGGACCCGTGCCATCGTCGAGGCCCTGCGATTCTGTGAGAAGTTGCCCCAGTCGAAGTGGCGTGTTGCTATCGGCACACCACTGCCCACTCAATTTGCTACCAAGAGGCGCACCACCTACAAGATCAATGGAGAGGCCGATATCTGGAATTTCCTCCGCACCGTCCGCGGGTTGTCCCAGAAGCGGACATTGTCCGGTGCTGGTGTACAGATGAGGCATTTGCCCCCCAAGAAACCCAAGAAAGTTCGTGCGTCATAGTCCTGTACTGCAGCAGTTAATGACAGTGCTCTTTGGCTCCTTGGCTCCTTGGCTCCCAGGTTCGCAGGCAGGAATTTTCCTGGGGTCGAATCATTTTAAGTCTAGTCGTTCGCACAGGAATGTACAGGGGGCCTGTGTCGCAAGGCAGGGTTAACCTTGTCTGGGGCAGCAGGTGCCTGCAACAGAGCCTGTTGCAAGCCCCTGCTCAATACACTGCAGATTGGTGCCAATCCGGGGCGTATTGGCAGGACAAAACGGCCTTGCAATTCACTTCCCCTGCAGTTGTTTAATTGCAGGACAATGGTAGGATGCAATACACCATGGATTGGTGCCAATCCCTGGTGTATTGACGTTCCATTTGTCCCTTGCAATAGCCTTCCTCTTTCATTTCAATACAGGCAGGATTCGCGCCAATCGCCGCGGCGCTACATCCAAGGGTGTTTTGGATGCATCCAAGGGTCCCGGCAGCTCTTGTTCCATGCATCCAAGGGTGTTTTGAGTGCATCCAAGGGTCACGTTAGCAGTGCCTTAATGATGAAAGAAGCACCTGTCACCCTTCAATGCACACGAATGACCCTTCAACGCACGCAAATGACCCTTCAATGCACATGTCACTTGTCACTGCATTGTCTGAGGCTGTTGTCGTCGACAAGCTGGACGTCGAGGGGCAGGCCCAAAGTCGTTTCATTTCAGTCATGGTTGGCTGTGTGGCTGAGTTGTCAGAACATGACAGTTGCATGCGACAGTGTGTTGTGTCAGTCTTGCCATGTCACTATCAGCATCTGATACGAGGCTTCTGCGGCAACAGGCTCCAAGGCTCCCTGGCTCACATAGGCTACTAGGTCCCAATGCCGCCTGCGAAAATGGCCGCAGCCGATCCTAAAGCAGCCGCCGCAGATATGGCACCCACCATCATCGCCGAGCCGGAGGAGAACCCAGTGATAGAGACTCAGTCTCAGAGATCTTGGTCGCGTCTCGGCTACTGTGCGCTGAGGGCAAGTGACTACGAGAAGAGTGTGGAGGCGGCTTCCGAGTTTGAGAAGGATTCCTATTACGAGTCACCGGAGATCGGCTTCCGTGCCTTGTTTCTGGCGACGAAACTGGACGCCATCACATGGCAGCGCAAGGAAGCCATGCGCAAGTTGGGGGCGGCCCCGTCTGCTGCAGACAAGCCTGTGAAGGCGAAGCTGCGCTCATCGCGCCGCCAGCTGACAGAAGCCATTGGGGAGACCCAGTTCGTGGTTCTCACACTGTTCACCAAGAAAAATCTGGCCGAAGCGTGCTCTGCAAGAGACATTGTGGTGGAGGATGGCGGCTACTATGTTCCGCTGTTCTCGGATCCTTGCCAGGAGCTGCCTTTCCACGACGAGGCGAACTGGAGCCTTGAATTCGAGTACATCGGACGCCAGGAAGTCTTTTCATTTATTGTTATTTAATTTTATATTAATTATAGGCTCAGGGGTTCAGAGGTTCAGGGGTTCAAGGGTTCAGGGGTTTAGGGGTTTAGGGGTCCAGGGTATTGCGTCCGATCAAGGCACGTCATGGTGCAGGCCACGACCAGCCGCGCCTGGCAGACCCTTGCACCCGGGCCCGACCTTGGCGGGGGTTTGGGCTTCATGTGCTACACGGCGGTCAAGTCGGAGGAAGGCGGCGGCGGCGGCTTCGACATTAGCAAGGAGGACACATCTGCCCTCGTGAACTTCTTGGCCCGGAACCACGTGTTCGCTGCGCAGGGGGATCCGTTCCTTCCGGATCCCGGTGCATCCCTGTTCCCGGTTTCTTCGTCCACGCACGCAGCGGCCACGTTGGGTTTTTTTGCCCTCAAGCAGCTCGACATGGACATGCTCGAGTTCAGCTGCGAGGGCGTCATCAACCAGTCACCGCCGGTTCTCCATCCGATGGGGTACTTCTGGATGCTCAAGGGCAATGACCTGGCAGAGCGGATCCGCACCGGCAACTTGAAGGTACGCAGGTCCGGGATCGAGATGGTCATCGTGAGCATGAGCAACCCCAGGAAGCACTCAGACATTCTCCTTGAGGCTCAGCGCTCCAAGCTGGTGGAGCACAAACGGCGCTTGAAGGAACAGGTGGACGTCTCCAACAAGCAGCTCCGCCGCGACCAGGATGCCCTCGCTGCCGTTGATGCCCAGCTGAGGCGTCTCCCAGGCTCCTAGGCTCCCAGGCTCCAAGGTCCATGTGGCGCCGGCTTGGTGTCGTCATGTTTAGATGACTCATCAGCAGCATAGTAGGATTTTGATGCTTCCTTACTTTGCTGCCAACTTGATTTAAATGGACATGTAAAGCTCAAGCCGCTCGTCGACAAACTGTGGCAGGGCCCACGACTACAAAGGACCGCTGTCGACGTCAGTTTGTGTTTGTTTGCAGCATGTCCTGCACTGCAGCAGTCTTATTGCCTTGCGCTGCACCGCAAGACTCCAAACGGTTCCGTGGAAGGCTACTCGGCTCCCAGGTTCCCAGGCTTCTGTACTCGCGCTCAATGGCAAAAGTGCCGGATTTGCCCACCGACCCAACCGTTCTGAGCTCAGCATTTTCGGAGCAGTATGACGTGTGTGATGATGATGTGTGGCACGCCATGTGAAGCAGGCCAGTGCTCAAGAAGCCCTGGCAAACATCGTGCCATGGGCCCTTCGCTGAGTTCTTGATACCGTGTCCCGTCTCGCGGCTAACAGTGCTGCATGCCGTGCCTGCCCGAGGTCCGCAGCCAGCTCCCTCTGAAGTTTCCGCAGGCCAAGCAGATGTTCAAGACACCGCCGCTTGCCATCAACGCAGAAGCCAAGATGGGGGATTTGACCGGATACAAGGCGGGCGCATGTCGATCAATGTCATTTATTATTGTTTGACCGTTGTCGTTTGTCAGGCTGTGTGGAGCAAAGATGACTGCCAAGCGTCCCTGACATCATCTGGACTTTACGAAGCCAGTGGCCTCGCGCTGTGGCTGGCCACCGAAGCTTTTGCCAGTGCGTCTGAGGATGTGTGCTGGCAGGATCTCCAAACTTTCGAAGACGCTTTCTTCTCCAAGAAAGTTGCTTTCAGCACAGTTGTATCGCGTGAAGCTGCCAAGAAGAAACAAAAAACGTCACGAAACCGGCTGACGTGGCCTTGTGAGATGATTGTCCTCACGGAGTCAGCATCTGACGTGATTCACGAAGAGTTCAACAGCTCGTTGCATCTTGCTAGCGGCGTGTTTGTGTTGTGGGCTTGGTACTTGGCCGTCTTCAAAGCCCTAGTCTCCCAGGACAGTTGCTGCTTGTGTTCACATGACATGACATGTTATTGATTCATCTGACTGATGTGTGCTTGCACTTGGCAGGACAAAGCAGTTTTGGAGATTTTGTGGGAGTGTGGCTGCACTGTCACGATACAGGTTCGCTTGTGTTCCAGCGCAGGGGAGATTGCGAAGAGTCGCAATCTTGCTTCAGAGAAAGTCAAGGCACTCGGGCACCCTGGCCTGTCCGACACCTTTTGGACATTTGCAAAGACTGTCCAGCTGCTCAAGGTCGAAAAAGTCCAGGATGGTGAGGAACAGAACTTGAGGTACAACAACACCTTGTACAACAAGGCCTTACACCAGGCTGCCACAGCAGCTGTTGCAGTGCTGCGGGGTCCATCCGGTCCCGTGGAGAAGGCTGCCCGGAGATTGGAGCTGGAATTTGGGCGGGGCATCTTGAGCAGTCAGTACTCGAAGTTGAGCAAGCTGTTATCGCTGACCAACAAGCTCGCATCTGCTACCAGAAACGCTGTAGACCTGACGGCCTGGATGATCGACTCCTTGACGCTGGCCCTGCGCATGAACATGGTCACGCCAGCTAAATGCACCGAGAAGTTTCTGGATCGAGACCGGAAGACAGGCGATGCTGGCTTTTGGTTGTCGCGCATGCTGGTGGTGCAGGCATTGTAACTATTCTGACTAGCGTGTGTATTTTTTTTTTGCGGAGTGTTGCAAGTCATCGGCAGCTTGAACACTGACAGAGGTCTTCGATTATGCAGCAAAGCTGGCGAACAAGTTGCCTGAGCCGGACAAGGTTAAGCTGACAGGGATTTTGGCTGAACTCCGTTGCCCTTCCACATGTTGGGAGAAATATCTCTGCCATGCTGATGCTGATCAAGGGGCTGCTGGAGAGGACGACATGGACGGCGAGGACCCAGAGGACGTGGAGCGCCCTGTTCCGCAGTCCAAGATTGGAGCTGTTAAAGAGGGTTTCAACAAAGCCATTGGCATGCTTTTGGATTTGCTGCTGGAGCTGATGTCGGGGAAGTACTACAAGGATTGCTGCATGCTGGCTTCGAGTGAAGATGGCCTTGCAAAGGCATTGACAGCTGCACAGCTTGGAAGCTCGGATGACACGGAGCACGAGGAGCCATGTGCGCTTATCACTCAGATGAAGATCATTGTCGACAAGTTCGACAACAGCACGAAGTCCGTTGGTGCCACATCTGCGGCTCCTGCTCCGAGTTTGCTCCAAAGCCTGGCCAAGGCTTCTGAAGCTGACACACCCGAGGAATGTGTCGAGCGTGAGCGGCAGTGGAAGGCGGTGCAAACGGAACGCCGCAAGTTCGTGTCGTTCTCGGTACCGAACAAGATCTCGAAGGACTGCCTAGTCAATGCGTTCAGAGGTTGCGGCAAGGTCTTCACGCACAAGGGCACCTTAAACTCTTCGCACCGCCTGATCGTTGCCAGTGCGGATCTCTTGGCAGAGGCTGGTACCGACCCGTGGCTCAAGGGCACTCCGCCAAGCGAGGAATGGAAAGAGATCTGTGCCTTTGCCAAAGACATTTCTGGGCCCGAGGATTTCGTCGTACTCTTCGACGGCAGAATGCGGGAAATTCGCCGCGTGTCCGAGTCTTGGCGGGGTGATGTGACAAGGCTCCCAGGCTCCAAGGCTCAAAGGCTGCACCTGGTTCTTTAAGGAAGACCTCCTGCTGAACCAGCAGCACACCGAGGAGTGCACCATCGTGTACTCAGGTGGGTGCCCGCCGAGAACTGGTCGCACTCGCCGCGTTCCGCTGGCTGCAAAGAAGGTGGAGACAGGAGCGGTTAAGTTCCCGGTCGCACGCACCAAGATTCAGACGACGAAGAAAGGCTCCTTCACAGTCTGCGGCGAGGCTTCTACGTACCAAGGCACTTACTCAGGCGTGGAGTACCGTGCGGTTTCTGAAATGCCCCTCGTGTCTGCAGACACCAAGAAGAAGATCATTGCTCCGGCAACAACCGGCGACCTCCCGACACCGCCAGAGGACTGGCAGGATCGCCACGGCTCCGACGTACCCTTGTTCTGGAACGAGTCGAAGCCGATAGCATATTGGAATGCCATCATTGAGGAGTTTTGCGCGGAGGCAGTGTTTGACCTCACGGCTGGCACCGGTGCTCTGATGGAGGCTTCTTTGACTGCCGGCATCGCATACCACGGGCTTTGCAGCACCCTTACTTGTCCAGTAGATTCGTCAGATCATTGTCATTTGATTTTATTTAAATTATCCGAGGCCTCAACAACCCAGACCCCCGGACGGATCCAAAAAGTAGATCCACCATTTCGTTGCGTATCTGTCTATGCATGTGTGGTTCCAAAAACACACTGCGGATCTACATCCATGGTAAATCAGCACTGTTAACGAAAGACCTATATTCGAAGTAGTTTGGCTCAAAACCACTGCGAAAAAAGAAAAAACAAAAAAAAGAAAGCTTAAGAGAGATTCGAGTAACAGAAAGAGAGAGGACCATATGAAATACATACAAACTGTTATTCGCCGGTGTGGTGAGGCATTAGAAAGCTTGCATTGTTGGTTTGGAATGTCAGGAAGTCGTTTCGTAGCATAAAGCGATCAAGAGTCTGTGTTTGGAGCGAGGTTTTCCGAAAGCTTGTGTGGTTATTGGGATTTTGAGGAATTGAACGGAATATGAGTAGAAACCGAAGCCTTATCCTTAGTTTCCTTCCACTCCTTCTATAGAACACATCATTTAAAGTAGAACGAGGCAGCAAAAGCATTGTACATGTGTGTTACTGCATGGTCGTATGAAAAAATGCTGCAATCTTGACTGTAGCTATATTCAAATTCGCATCATGAGCATACATCACACAGGCCCCACAGCCAAAGGTCCCATTTCCTGGCCCAGTCCTCCGGTTTTATGGTATTATAGCTGCTGGGTTGTCGGTAGGCGGAATAATTCCTTAAAACCCTGTTGGCCAGATTCCAATCGCTGATTAAGCCTAAGTTTTTAGATATTAAAACCTATAAAACTAGCAAGCCCACCCCCGAAGCCCGAACCCCGAAGTCACATCCAGAGAGCTCCCACAGCTGGCCGCATTCGCCGCCCGAGATCTCAGCAGGATGCCCAATGGGCACGGGGTTCGAGGTTGTGCCAAGTTTCGGTGTCCAGAATGCAGATCGAGATTTCTGCCCACTTCCTGGGATGTGAGTAAGGCTTACTTCCAGAATCGGGTTTAGTGCGCTCGCTCTATGTTGGCTAACTTTAGACTTTTCTAGTCTGCGGACCTAAAGCCCTAATCCCCCAGTCTTAGGACCTAAAGCCTTATAATCCCAGAACCCCTACATCCTACCTGTAGCTGCCTTATGTCACACTGCAGCTTCTAACTCGATCTTAGACCCCAAGTATCACCCGCAACCCGTACTGCTGTACACAGCGATCGAACACTGCCGGTGCTGCTGCGACTCTGCAATAATCTACCGCCAAACATCCTAGTCTAGATCAGTCGACCGTGCATTTGCCAGCAATGGCGGGCAAAGCTCAGAAGAGACCGGCGGCTGGGCAGCGAGTTCGGAGGGTGGGGTTCAAGAATTTTCGACAACTGGCATCAGCGATGGCACCATTTATCAACACGAAACACTTCAGCACATATACCACTAACCGGGACATGGCGAAGATGGACAAAAAGAAGCTTCAGTCTCGGCCATCCAGCTCTATATAGAATACTGGTTTCGTTTCTTTTAAACTTCGGGGTTGCTTGGGTCGGGGTTTGAGCTTTTCAACCGATCCGAATCGAGGTTATTCCAAGGAATTTTCCAAGCTACGATTTCCCTCAGCCCGACGTGGAACTTCCCTGATGCTGTGCTGAAGAAGAGCCTTTTGCATATCTTGAAAATGGAGGACCCAGCAAGCTAGCTTTTATCTAGATTCTGGTTCTTGTGAATGGAAACTTTTGGCATTCTAGCACTACAGCAACGAAACAGGACAGAACAGAACTCAGTGCCGCGATCGAGCCATCAGATAGAGATACATGGGCGACTACCAATGCTTTGCGATTGAGTGCTGCCTTTCGCCATTACAGCCAGTCGTCACTCCGTCGTCGCGAATGGGTCCCCGAGGCCCGCTCGTTACAAAACTTATTTTTGTCTAGTGTGTTCGGAAATGAAATATTAATACGTGGCCGATATCCCTGGCTCGGCAGGCACACAGAAGACCTCAGAGAACCCCGAGCGATGTTGCAGCAGCACAGAGGTCAAGCAAGCGCCGAAGGCTTAAGGGGAAGCAGAAAGATCCCGAAAATGAGTCAGCAGATGGTGCCGAGCCAGATGATGATGAGAAGGATGAGCATCAAGATGATGAGTGTGTTGATGGCAGTGGCAGCGACGACAGCAGCAGCAGCAGCAGCTCGTCTTCGTCGCCAACAAGCAGTAGCAGCAACAGCAGCAACATCAACAATGATGACAAGCAGAAGGCAACATGTGAAATTGCCGAGGAGCAAAAGCCAGCAGAAGCACGACAACCCAGAGAGCAATCCCCGCAAACAAAGCAAGACGAGCCAGCAGTGCAAAGAAGCAGCAAGCAAGATGTGCCAGACATGTCAGAGCCCTGGACTTAATCATCGTAGGCTGGCATCAATGCACTATTCTCTGTACTACTGGCATCAATCATCAATGCATTATTCTCCGTACTGCTTTCTCAGAAACAAATGCACCCCAGCCCCCGCCGCACGGGATCCCAAACAAATGAACATGCCAAGGTAGCTGCTGCTACCGCCGTCGCCAACGACTGGTTCTTGAACGCCTTGGACGGAATGCTGGCTGGCGATGACCCATGTGGGACTTCGTCTTTCAGTTGCCCGTCTGCACAAGCGGTTCTGGCTGGAAAGCTCCCCAAACTGTGCAGCTGTGATCTCCCAAGCTTTAGGCCCTCATGTCGAAGAGTGAAGTTAGACCTGAGTCCGATGACGAGTGGCTTGTCGAGCTGCTGAGTAGTCATGCCGGTAGCAGTTCCAGGGCGGCAGAAGCGGCAGAAAGCTCCATGGATGTAGAGGGCGATACCTTGCAGCAGCTGTTGACGAGTGATGGGTCTGGGTCACATGATGGATTGGATGAGCCTTCTTTGTCAAGCCTGCTGGTCAAGCATTCAGAGTTTTGTAAAGGGGGACCATGTGTTGCAACGGCAGCGAGCCGATGCGAAAATCCTGTGAGCTTTTCGGGTGCCTTTGTCATGGTGGATGGTCGTCGCGAGCAGCTGGTCAGTGCAAACTACTACAAGACACTCATTCCTGTCGCACTGCAGAACCTGCCACGACTTCAGTCGGTTATGCGAACCGTGCTTGCAGATCCTCAGATACATGTGGATTTTTTGACATGTCAGCTGGCATCCAAAATTCTGGAACACGCCTACACCCGGATCCGCCATCTCATTTCTACTTCCGTGAAGTTTAAGATCGGACAGACAGCAGACCCCTCCCATCGCTGGAGACGTGCTGCCCATTCTTACCTGCTCGAGAAGCCGAGAGTATTCCGGAGCATGAAGCTGCTTGCGATTTTCGAGCATGGGGAGGCTGCTGCAATGCTTGAGGCGGCACTCATTGCTACGTTTATTTCTCACGAAGCTTGTTTGAATGTGGCCCTGGGAGGAGAGTCTATCTCCAAGATAGATGGACCCTTTTTTGTGTACGCCGTGGTTTCTGATTAAAGCTGTCTGGCGAACCGTGTTTTACATTATCACACGTATATGTCGCTCGATCTGCTGGAGCACCCGCTATTACACTATTGCATAAGCAAGTCGCTCGATGTGCTTGGATGCCAGCAAAGCCTGGGTCGCAGCTTTCATAAAGATCCGATCCTGAGTTTCGCTGGCTTGGGCTGCATATTGCTAGCCGGAATATCCTTTAGGGGTCCAGGGACTAGGGTTCAGGGGTGAGGGGTTCAGGGATTTAGGGTTTCGCCTCGGGGATTTGGGATGATTACGATTCGGTGTTGGTGCATACATTATCCATCGTGCCTGGTGTCGGGTCTGCTTGGGTTCCACACAGGTTTGGGCCTAGTGTTGTCTGAATATAGTGATTGTGGTTTGCTTAGGATGCAGCAACAAAAGCCTCCGGGGTGTGCAATGTTTCAAACCTTTCTCTGTATGTCTCTCTCTCTCTCTCTCTCTCTCTTTCTCTCTCTCTCTCTCTCTCTCTCTCTCTCTCTTTCTCTCTTTCTCCGTCTCTCGCTCTCTCTTTCTACATCTCCTTCTCACTCTCACTCACTCTCTCTCCTCTCTCTCTCTTTCTATCTCTCTCTCTCTCTCTCTCTCTCTCTCTCTCTCTCTCTCTTTCCATACCCTCGCCGCAACCAATTGCCATGAAAAGCTATAATAAGCACAGTGTGTCCCCAAAACACCGATCAATCCCACTCTGTACATCAGCTATATCGATAGCTCTAATTGTACTTATTTGCGAACAATCCTACCAGGCGGGAGCCAACCTATTGAATTGAACCCCTGATCTAAATCAGATCCCACCCACCATAAAACTGGAGCCTTCGATCCAGCTCATGTAGCTATAGCCTTCGAGCCAACCCATTATTATATATGTATATTCTATAACCTCGATCCAACCCGCTTTTTACACCTGGACTTTGAAACTTCAACCCCGACCCACTAAACTCTGATTCTAGAGCCTGGACCCGACCCGCTGAAACTTGAACCTTCGATGCAACTCCTATCTAAGACTTAAAAAAGCCGTTCACTTAAACAGGAATCGGGATCAGAGCCACCTTGCACCCTGAACCTCAACCCCTAAGTATATATAGACCTTTGATAAACCCTTGATCAGCAGATGCCCAGGCTACGCATCGCCAACTCCTGGCCCTCCGAGACGTTCTGCAGTCTTCGCGGCCCAGGACAGTAGTGCTCCTGAACAAGATTGCCCCAAGTGGGCGATGCATCCTAAAGCCCTAAGCCCTAAGCTTACACCGTAAACCATAAGTGTCATAATAAACTCCAGACCCCAAACCCGAAGGACGACGAGAACGAGGCGAATGGCAAGGTGAAGGCCGAGGAGCCAACAGCGAAGAAGCCCAAAATGGGCGACCGGGAGCAGAAACCCAAGGAGACCGACGACAAGACGCAGCCGAAGCCCAAGGAGACCGACGACAAGACGCAGCCGAAGCCCAAGGAGACCGACGACAAGACGCAGCCGAAGCCCAAGGAGACCGACGACAAGCAGCCGAAACCCGAGAAGACCGACGACAAGCAGCCGAAACCCGAGAAGACCGACGACAACAAGGACCCGAAGAAGAACAGCAAGGAGAAGCAGAAAAAAAAGAAGATCGAGAAGACCGACGACAAGAAGCAGCCGCAGACCCACGACAAGAACCAGCCGAAAGCGACAGAGACCGAGGACAAGAAGCAGCCGAAGACCGGAGACAAGAAGCAGCCGAAAGCGACAGAGACCGAGGACAAGACGCAGGGTGATGTGACGTGGAGCAATCTGCACGAGAAGGCCGTGTGCGATGGCGAGTTCAGTTCCGAGCCCTTTGTGAAAGACGACGAGGTCTATGTCTCCTTTGAGTCTGGCCTGGAGTGGCGGGTGCCGCATTTGGTGCCCCATGACTTGAAAGGCGGGCAAAAAGCTTTGCCTATGGTCGGAAACGCCCAGCAGCCGAAGCGGAAGCCCAAACCCAAAGCCTCTCCGAAACCAGTGCCTGATTTTGATCTAGGCTGCTGCAGGATAAAATACTGTACGCAGGGCAACAAAATGCCAATCTTGAAGTTCGAGGTGCGAGCTGACAGGACTGGGCCGTGTTCGCTTTTCAAGCAAAAGATGCAAGTGGTAGTGAAGGAAGGTGGCTTCACGGCGGAGCAGGGGATGAACTTCCTCAAAAGTTTCGCCTTTGCTTACGATGGCATGAACATGAACCCCGACGAGATAGATTTCAGGGTTTGCAAGCAATCGTTGCTTGACTACGGGTCCAAGAACGGAGTTGATTGGAGCAAGCATCTGAGCTGGAAGTTCATCAACAAGCTAAAGCTGCCGGGGTTTCCTGAGGCGAGCATCGGTTTGATTTAGCCGCTTTTTTTATTTTTGGTCTTGGGCAAGAACGATCTTCGTCGAGAGTGTGCTTTGTCATATTGAATGTAGTTAAGGCCTCAGCCTGCACCCTCGGACCACGACGGCGAGAAGGGCGACGCTGCTGATGGTGAGGGCGATGATGACGACAACGAGGGCGAAGGCGAGGAGGAGGAGCAGACAGAAAACGACCCGGCGATGGAAGGCTCCCAGCCCGCCCTCTAAACCCCAACCCTGAACCCTGAAACCCTAAACCCAAACCCGAAACCCTACACGCAACGTCGTTGTGACTACATACAAAGACTTCTTCTGTAGGAGTGCAAGCAGGATCGTAATATATATATATATATATATATATATGTATATATATATATATGCAGATTTTACATCTATGGACTTCATACGCACAGTCGCAGTCGCTGCTACAGTTCTTTGACTACAAAACGTTGCAGATAAGTGCTTTACCAGAATCACAACCCTAAGCCCTAAACCCTAAGTCCTTAGATTTAGCATACCTCCTTCCATGAACCCCCCTCAAGCTCAGGCTTGGATCGCCTCGGCTCGGCTGCTGACATGATGCTGGGGACGAATGGAGATGATCTAGTCTAGGAGTGTGCAGAGAAGTCTTTATATCGGATGTTGTGTGCTTTGAAGCCTAGCCCTGTTCTGACTGGCCCGTCCTTATAACCCATAACATCACCCCGAGGTCCTCTGCAAGAACCGTAGCCACTGATCGTAGAAGCCTCAGATGTGCTCCGGGTGCATTCATTTCCGACTAAAGGTTTTCCACTTGCGAAGCAGCACTAGCTAATTCTTATATTGGCTTATTAAGCCTCCAAAACCCGACCCGAAA